CATTTTCCGAGCGGAGAAGCTTTCCTTTTTTTTTTTAAAACAAAATGGTAACGTAGAGAACTGAAAGTAGCCTTAACCTTAACCGATGAACTGGTGTGAAAACGTGTGGAAATATTGAACTTTTATCACCTGTCTCTCTTCGCTAAAACCTTACTTTGTTCTGTTTTTTTCTTCTCCAGATGTCGCCAAGTGTGTCTGTGCTCCTTCTGCTGGCCGTGGCTGTCTGTAACGCCGAGGTAAGTTTGTTTTTTTTATTTCTACTCTGAAACTAAAATATTTGTCTTTTGTAGGGTTTCAGATATGTAACACACACATCTGTACTCAAACGCTTTGTCCTTATGGTGTAGCGTTAACGGCTACACGGTACCATAACAGCAGCTTTGTTCACAGACGAGCTCGAAAACATCTGGAAAAGGTCGGAGTCAGTCTATTATCCGACACAACACGATGGTGTGGAGGAAAACAAGCACAGAGCCTATAGCTTTTATCTTTTGAATAGTATTTATCTTCTGAAGGAGAACCAATTATGGCATTATTGTTGGCACTCTGCGCAATTATGAGCTTCATTGTGGAGACAATCAGCCTCACAATTTAAACTAAATTGCCACTGGGAACGGTTCCTTTCAATAGGGACTAAAAATGATTGCACATATAATTCTGTTCGATAGGCATCTGTATGGTTTCTCTTTCTTTTTTCTTTTGTTTTTGTGCTGTTGCCTGAAACAAACATTGTGCATCCTGCTGGACCACACACAGAAATACACTCCTCCTAGTCGTTGTTTTTGTGGAGTTGTTAAGTTAACAGAGGACCAGAGTGACACAAGAGTGACAGACAGCTGTGAAAAGAAAAGAAGGGAGGGATGGTGTTTGCGTATATCTCACAAAAACCCTGCTCGCCATTGGGTTTGATGGCCCCTCGTCATCGGTATTGTAGGATGCTTTGGTGCAAAACGCCCTGCCAATTGGCAGCTGCTGTAATGGCATACAAACACTGTGTTTGGGTGGTCAGTCAGGAGTGGGAGTGGGTGTGTGTTTGCCTGTGTACTCAAGGGGTTGTGAGAATTGTCACCTTATGGGTCTCACACTGCAGCACTAAGTAGTCCAACCTCTGAGTAAACACAAGAGATAATGTGCTGTTAAATTAGCTTCTCATATGAAAAAGCAAATAAGCAAACTATTCCTTTTAGATATAGAAACACACACGCACGCACTCAGGCACCAGGTGCTGGTTGATGGCCTTAAACCCTCACCGGACACAGCTGTTGAACACCTGGCTTTGTGTTGACTCCTCTGTTGACCTGCACAACAGTTGGAGGCTGAGGAAATAGCTGCAGCCTAATTAGAGGAGAGATTTTTCAAACACTTAGAGCTACGCCAAATGTGAAACACAAGATAAACCAATTGTCTGGCGCCCGGTCTATCTTTATAGCGTTACGCAGATGGCCATTAGTGTCTCAACTGCCACAACATTACTCATGGCGCGACATGTAGGCCCCCCTCCCCGCTGACCTTCCACTGCTGTCCCTACCTTTGCCCGCTGGCTGGAAAATGTGCCATTGTGTGCGCCTTTATTGGATTCATGGCCGTGATCTGTGAGGTATGGCATGGTGAAGACAGAGCACACAGAGGAGTCCCACAAAGTTAATGTGGAGGCATTAGAAAGGCATCTATTCTCCTAAGGTAATTACCCTGATAATATATGGCCTGTTGACTGGCCGTGGGAAGGGCCTGAACTGGCATTCCAATGTGCTGTCTGAAGGAGGTCAACAAGTTGGAGCGAAGCTATCGCAGGAGAGGATCTGATGTATTTAGGTTATGTTTCGGTGAGGGAATGTGTGTTAGATTTAATGTATACACAGTATAAAAGAGCTGGAAAGACCCATGAAACCCGGGGTTCTTTGTGTGTGAATACATGTATTTGTTTTCTGGCATGAGTGTAGGATATTAAAATCTGGACACTAACTCGTGATTTATTATGAAGGACAATGCCTGTGTGCTTCCTGAGGTGAGAAATTGCAGCGTTTGAAGACAAGCGGCTCAGAGATGTAGTGTGGCAGGGCGGCCAAAGTCAGGACTCTGTGGTGGAAAAGTGTGTGTGTGTGTGTGTGTGCAGGCTGGATACGAGATATGCATCTTGTGAATAAAATGTTGGAGCCTTACTCAAACACACCGGGAGCTTGGTATGCAAGGGAGGTCGAGATGCGGGCATAGTGAAAGTCATAAGACTTCATGCAGCCTCGGGGGACATGTGCACACACACTTGCGTATACTAAACAGAGAGAGTGGAGTGTTTATATTTATGTGTTTATGACATGCAGCGTTTTTGTGTTATCCTGCGTTCTCTGCGGTGATGGGGTGGAATGACACAGTGGTTAATTCACTTATCTGCACCGGCTCTGGGTCTGGAAAAATACAGACGTCAAGAGGAAGTGAGCCAAACAAGGCGACCAGAAAAGCTCTCTTTCCTCTCAGACAGTCCAACAGTTGAGAGGATAAAGAAGACAGGTTGAAGAAGATAGAAGGAGAAGAAGAAGGTTCCCCTTTGGTGCCATGGATCTGCAGCCTCTGACTGAGCCACAGCATCTTAGGCACCCTGCCATGTTGCCATGTTGATGCCTGTTCTCTCTCATCCAAGGTGGGCTAAAAATATCTGCCCAGGTGTAGGGAACATGAGCATGAGGGGACGCTGTGTCCTCTGCCTGTATCAGCCTGCTCTAATTACTGTAGCCCAGCATCCAGTCATGGATCCTGCGCAGGGATTGCTGAGGACGGTGAGATAGAGTGATGTAAAACAGAGAGGAGATGGAGCCACAGTCATGCAATTATAGCAGGGGAGATTGTGGGTGAGGTAAGACTTGGCTGTGTAGTGAGGGGGTAGGAAGAAAGAAAGAAAGAAAGAGGGGGATGTGCTGTGTTTCATGTCCCTGCAGTGTGTTCTCTTCACTCTTGGCTTGGCATAAAAGGAGTCCTCATTTAGCTAACCAGCTGTACTGGTGTCTTATCATTACCGGCACTCTGCACTCAGAGGCACTACACACATGAATTAACACGCACACAGTCACACAGGAAAGACAAAGAGCGGCACTAAAGTCTACTCAAAGGGTTTGTGAATTAGAGATAATGAATTTGCAACATACTGACTTACTCACGCGTGCTAAAAGTTAAACGTACGTATAGGTACCCGGTCTTGCCTCCTGAATGCAAGTCATAAAGGACGACAATTTCCCTTTGTTTTCCTCCTTTTAGTTCGCAGTCAAAGGCAATAAATCAACATCATTAGTGTGACGTGTTGAAAAAATTGTTTGAATTCCAAGGACACTCCGTTTTACCTCAGTTCAACGTTGCCTCAGCAGTTTTCCGATAAGATAAATTGTCAAAAAAAACATCCTGATACTTCACATTTACTTCCACCAGAGATCCTGTATCCAGCGGCCTGTGTAGAGGACACACCTTGAGATCAGGCCCTGTGTCTCAAATGCAGTTTGCTTGGTGAAAAGAGGGTCACTGTGGGATGAGTGATTAACTGGCTGGCATTGTTCTCTCTAGCTGTAATTGTTGAATTCTTCCACCATTACCTAGAAAGCTTTGACAACTGCGACAGCTTAAAAAGTGGACCATTTACACCTTTTCAATGTTCTAAAGTTGTTTCTAAATTATAGTCGAATTATCGGATAATTTATTTGGAATTATTGCAAGATAGGCTTTAACCTTACAAAAAAAAAAAAACATTTTAAGAGTCAGAACTGGTGTTTGTTTGTTGTTGCTGATAATAGTGATGTCAGGTAGATTTGGTTAGATCTGTGAGCTGTGGAATATGAAATCATCCATCTCTGCTAAACGTTCGTACCCTCAGGTGTGTAAAAACTACAGGTTATGAACTTCTTTTTAAAACACAAAAATGTGTTTTAATCTTTTCCCATACATGTTTTTTTGTGTAAATGATTTGACACTGGGATATTGCAGGTCAGCCGGTATGGTGTAAAAGAGATTGACAGAGACTCTTGTTCTCTTGGGGTTAACATGTTAAACACAGGTCCTCTGGGGATCATAAATCTATCCACAACATATAATAACACGCATTCCCCACACAAACTATTTTATTCATTCCGGTTCATGCCTGACCTTTTAGGCCAGTATATATAACACAATAATGTGAGCTCAAAGACCTGCTTACTGTTCTAGATCTTCTGAGCTTTCAATTGCATATCATGGTCTGATTCAGATGAGGTTATTTAGTTATGTATTATATCATTGCTTGTGTATTGAAGTAAGATAAAGTGTATGAGAAAAGATATACGGCCAAACATCTTTCACTCGAACACAACATAGAAGAAGCAAAAGCTAATGATTTGATTGTATTATCAACAGTTACAGGTCAATGGACCCTGACTTTAGAACCAGAGAGTATTTTCATTATCGATGAATCTGCTGATTATGTTCTTGATTAATCAATTAATCTTTTTGTCTGCAAATGTCAAAAACTATCCACTGTTTCCCATCTCCCAGAGCCCAGGATAGCATCTTCAAATAGAAGATAAAAGCAACAAACTCTCAACCTTAAGAAACTGGAGCTAGAAAATGTTTTTTTTTCCTAAAATAGTTGTTTTTTAGCTAGTTGTTATCGACTAATTGACTGGCTTATTTTCAACCCTGTGTTTATTTATCAAATTTATAACTTGACTACTTCCACTACAGAGAAAAATATCCCAGATTAAGTTGTATGGATGTATTATCATAGGCCCACTCACTCTCACATGATAAAGGTTGTGGTTTCAGAACAGACTTTTAATGGCCGCATACAGTAAATACACCGTGCAGTCTGGAAATGGGCCTTTTTCCTTCTACAAACATGTTCCAGCCGTTAGCCCCAATACTGGCCTCAAAGAGGGAGCAGGGAAGAGGGCAGGGAATTTACTCACTCCCCTGGCCTGAGCCTAGCGTGGGCCCTCCCTCCCTTCCTCTCTCCCTGCCTTCCTCCCTCCCTTCCTGGCAGTGGAAAAATGCCCAGAACAGAGCAGGGGTGGGAGTAAAGGGGGAGAAAGGATTTTAGGGGGGAAATGATTGGATCAAGAATCATAGAAAGACAGACATCTATGTTTAAAGAGAATCAGTACTTTATACAGAAAGTAGAGAATTGGATGGATGAAAATGGCACAGTTCTGTATGGGATTGACGTGGGTCAGGTGGTGGGGACAGGGGACACTTTTGTCTCGGGAGTG